TATTGCATTATTTTATCACATAAATAAAAATTAAACTACTTGCCTGTTGCTCAAGGTCTTCAGTGTATTTTTTAACTTTTTGTTCCCTCTCTGCTGCTTCTTTTACAAGCTGTTTAAGATCAATAATGCTTTGATTTTTTTTGTCAATCTCAGTTTCCAATTCTTTCAACTTGGTTTCATACATTCTAAAAGTATAAAGGAAAAAAATTGTGTACACATACAAATGTTTTTGCCCCCAATGGTTTAAAAGTCAATTCAAAGGAACAAACCAAAAATAAGCGTTTCTTACTGTACTATTTCTTCTAGTCAAACATTTTGCTACATATTGACTTAGCTTAAAAAGTTGATGGCAAAGGATAAATATACTTAATCAACAGATAGGCCAATGAAAATAGCATATTTAGGTGTTATCCAAGGTTATAAACAAAGATGGAACCTGAATTTGAGTACTGTAAAAGTTTAAACTTAATACCTTTTTCACTCAAAAAAGAAGAAAATAGAAAGCAAAATTCATGAAATTCTGTATTACTGGATAATGTTAGGAATATATTTAAAAATGGCAAAGCTTCTCTCTCTCTCTCTCTCACACACACACACATACACACAAGACATTCCAGGGAGAGGGAAAAGAATATGCAAAAGCATGGGTGAGAGAAACAATGTAGGATGGGGGAGGTATTAAGCTGACAGGAGAACAGGCAGGGGTAGATTGTGAAAGTCAAACCAAGGAGATGAGAAGTTTTATTTTTCATAAGGATTTCTGAGTGGTATCTCCATTACATTCCAAAGTATGATAAAAATTAGTATTTTTCAACATTTTGTCAAATGTACTGAAGGAAATTAACAATATTTTAAACTATAGATTATCTATAGGATACGTTCTAAAGACTAAGTACACTATTCAAAGAATTAAAATCACTTTTAGAAGAGAAATGTAAGAAAAATTCTGCTTCTAGTAATACAGTAGACCAGTTAATCTGATATGCTCTCTACTATTAAATCTTCTAAGAAATTCTGAAATGCTTGTGACATGAAAACATACTCTCTTGAAAGCAGAACTGAGGTTTCATTTTAAAAAGGTACTGGAAACAAAGAGGGAAGTTAAAATCAAAGAAAG